TTCATGGAAGTTCAGTCAGAAGGAGCAGAGGCCGAATATACAACAGCATTTGTCAAAGGGCAGATAACAGTTCATGGAAGTTCATGGAAGTTCAGTCAAGGGAGCAGAGGCCGAATATACAGTGCATTTGTCAAATCATAACAGTTCATGGAAGTTCAGTCAGAAGGGAGCAGAGGCCGAATATACAGTGCATTTGTCAAATCATAACAGTTCATGGAAGTTCAGTCAGAAGGGAGCAGAGGCCGAATATACAGTGCATTTGTCAAATCATAACAGTTCATGGAAGTTCAGTCAGAAGGGAGCAGAGGCCGAATATACAGTGCATTTGTCAAATCATAACAGTTCATGGAAGTTCAGTCAGAAGGGGAGCAGAGAAGGTGCAGAGGCATGAATATACAGTGCAGTTTGTCAAATCATAACAGTTCATGGAAGTTCAGTCAGAAGGAGCAGAGGCCGAATATACAGTGCATTTGTCAAATCATAACAGTTCATGGAAGTTCAGTCAGAAGGGAGCAGAGGCCGAATATACAGTGCATTTGTCAAATCATAACAGTTCATGGAAGTTCAGTCAGAAGGGGCAGAGGCCGAATATACAGTGCATTTGTCAAATCATAACAGTTCATGGAAGTTCAGTCAGAAGGGAGCAGAGGCCGAATATACAGTGCATTTGTCAAATCATAACAGTTCATGGAAGTTCAGTCAGAAGGGAGCAGAGGCCGAATATACAGTGCATTTGTCAAATCATAACAGTTCATGGAAGTTCAGTCAGAAGGAGCAGAGGCCGAATATACAGTGCATTTGTCAAATCATAACAGTTCATGGAAGTTCAGTCAGAAGGAGCAGAGGCCGAATATACAGTGCAGTTGTCAAATCATAACAGTTCATGGAAGTTCAGTCAGAAGGAGCAGTACAGTGCATTTGTCAAATCATAACAGTTCATGGAAGTTCAGTCAGAAGGGAGCAGAGGCCGAATATACAGTGCATTTGTCAAATCATAACAGTTCATGGAAGTTCAGTCAGAAGGGAGCAGAGGCCGAATATACAGTGCAGTTGTCAAATCATAACAGTTCATGGAAGTTCAGTCAGAAGGGAGCAGAGGCCGAATATACAGTGCATTTGTCAAATCATAACAGTTCATGGAAGTTCAGTCAGAAGGGAGCAGAGGCCGAATATACAGTGCATTTGTCAAGTAATAACAGTTCATGGAAGTTCAGTCAGAAGGGAGCAGAGGCCGAATATACAGTGCAGTTGTCAAATCATAACAGTTCATGGAAGTTCAGTCAGAAGGGAGCAGAGGCCGAAAATCATAACAGTTCATGGAAGTTCAGTCAGAAGGGAGCAGAGGCCGAATATACAGTTTTGTCAAATCATAACAGTTCATGGAAGTTCAGTCAGAAGGGAGCAGAGGCCGAATATACAGTGCAGTTGTCAAATCATAACAGTTCATGGAAGTTCAGTCAGAAGGGAGCAGAGGCCGAATATACAGTGCAGTTGTCAAATCATAACAGTTCATGGAAGTTCAGTCAGAAGGGAGCAGAGGCCGAATATACAGTGCAGTTGTCAAATCATAACAGTTCATGGAAGTTCAGTCAGAAGGGAGCAGAGGCCGAATATACAAATGCAGTTCATGGAAGTTCAGTCAAATCACAGTGCAACAGTTCATGGAAGTTCAGTCAGAAGGAGCAGAGGCCGAATATACAGTGCAGTTGTCAAATCATAACAGTTCATGGAAGTTCAGTCAGAAGGGAGCAGAGGCCGAATATACAGTGCAGTTGTCAAATCATAACAGTTCATGGAAGTTCAGTCAGAAGGGAGCAGAGGCCGAATATACAGTGCATTTGTCAAATCATAACAGTTCATGGAAGTTCAGTCAGAAGGGAGCAGAGGCCGAATATACAGTGCATTTGTCAAATCATAACAGTTCATGGAAGTTCAGTCAGAAGGGAGCAGAGGCCGAATATACAGTGCATTTGTCAAATCATAACAGTTCATGGAAGTTCAGTCAGAAGGGAGCAGAGGCCGAATATACAGTGCATTTGTCAAATCATAACAGTTCATGGAAGTTCAGTCAGAAGGAGCAGAGGCCGAATATACAGAAAATCATAACAGTTCATGGAAGTTCAGTCAGCAGAGGCCGAATTGTCAAAATATAACAGTTCATGGAAGTTCAGTCAGAAGGGGCAGAGGCCGAATATACAGTGCAGTTGTCAAATCATAACAGTTCATGGAAGTTCAGTCAGAAGGGAGCAGAGGCCGAATATACAGTGCAGTTGTCAAATCATAACAGTTCATGGAAGTTCAGTCAGAAGGGAGCAGAGGCCGAATATACAGTGCATTTGTCAAATCATAACAGTTCATGGAAGTTCAGTCAGGAAGTTCAGTGCAGAAATCACAACAGGTTCATGGAGCAGTCAGGCCAGAATATACAGTGCATTTGTCAAATCATAACAGTTCATGGAAGTTCAGTCAGAAGGGGAGCAGAGGCCGAATATACAGTGCATTTGTCAAATCATAACAGTTCATGGAAGTTCAGTCAGAAGGGCAGAGGCCGAATATACAGTGCATTTGTCAAATCATAACAGTTCATGGAAGTTCAGTCAGAAGGGCAGAGGCCGAATATACAGTGCATTTGTCAAATCATAACAGTTCATGGAAGTTCAGTCAGAAGGGAGCAGAGGCCGAATATACAGTGCAGTTGTCAAATCATAACAGTTCATGGAAGTTCAGTCAGAAGGGAGCAGAGGCCGAATATACAGTGCAGTTGTCAAATCATAACAGTTCATGGAAGTTCAGTCAGAAGGGAGCAGAGGCCGAATATACAGTGCATTTGTCAAATCATAACAGTTCATGGAAGTTCAGTCAGAAGGGCAGAGGCCGAATATACAGTGCATTTGTCAAATCATAACAGTTCATGGAAGTTCAGTCAGAAGGGAGCAGAGGCCGAATATACAGTGCAGTTGTCAAATCATAACAGTTCATGGAAGTTCAGTCAGAAGGGAGCAGAGGCCGAATATACAGTGCATTTGTCAAATCATAACAGTTCATTGGAAGTTCAGTCAGAAGGGGCAGAGGCCGAATATACAGTGCATTTGTCAAATCATAACAGTTCATGGAAGTTCAGTCAGAAGGGGCAGAAGGCCGAATATACAGTGCATTTGTCAAATCATAACAGTTCATGGAAGTTCAGTCAGAAGGGAGCAGAGGCCGAATATACAGTGCATTTGTCAAATCATAACAGTTCATGGAAGTTCAGTCAGAAGGCAGAGGCCGAATATACAGAGGCCGAATATACAGTGCATTTGTCAAATCATAACAGTTCATGGAAGTTCAGTCAGAAGGGAGCAGAGGCCGAATATACAGTGCATTTGTCAAATCATAACAGTTCATGGAAGTTCAGTCAGAAGGGAGCAGAGGCCGAATATACAGTGCATTTGTCAAATCATAACAGTTCATGGAAGTTCAGTCAGAAGGGAGCAGAGGCCGAATATACAGTGCATTTGTCAAATCATAACAGTTCATGGAAGTTCAGTCAGAAGGGAATATACAGTGCAAATCATAACAGTTCATGGAAGTTCAGGCCGAATATATACAAATCATAACAGTTCATGGAAGTTCAGTCAGAAGGGAGCAGAGGCCGAATATACAGTCATTGTCAAATTCAGTTCATGGAAGTTCAGTCAGAAGGGAGCCCGAATATACAGTGCATTTGTCAAATCATAACAGTTCATGGAAGTTCAGTCAGAAGGGCAGAGGCCGAATATACAGTGCATTGTCAAATCATAACAGTTCATGGAAGTTCAGTCAGAGGGGAGCAGAGGCCGAATATACAGTGCATTTGTCAAATCATAACAGTTCATGGAAGTTCAGTCAGAAGGGCAGAGGCCGAATATACAGTGCATTTGTCAAATCATAACAGTTCATGGGTTCAGTCAGAAGGGAGCAGAGGCCGAATATACAGTGCAGTTGTCAAATCATAACAGTTCATGGAAGTTCAGTCAGAAGGGAGCAGAGGCCGAATATACAGTGCATTTGTCAAATCATAACAGTTCATGGAAGTTCAGTCAGAAGGGAGCAGAGGCCGAATATACAGTGCATTTGTCAAATCATAACAGTTCATGGAAGTTCAGTCAGAAGGGGGCAGAGGCCGAATATACAGTGCATTTGTCAAAATCATAACAGTTCATGGAAGTTCAGTCAGAAGGGAGCAGAGGCCGAATATACAGTGCATTTGTCAAATCATAACAGTTCATGGAAGTTCAGTCAGAAGGGAGCAGAGGCCGAATATACAGTGCATTTGTCAAATCATAACAGTTCATGGAAGTTCAGTCAGAAGGGAGCAGAGGCCGAATATACAGTGCATTTGTCAAATCATAACAGTTCATGGAAGTTCAGTCAGAAGGGAGCAGAGGCCGAATATACAGTGCATACATTGTCAAATCATAACAGTTCATGGAAGTTCAGTCAGAAGGGAGCAGAGGCCGAATATACAGTGCAAATTTGTCAAATTCAGTCAACAGTTATACAGTGCATTTGTCAAATCAAGTTCAGTCAGAAGGGGCAGAGGCCGAATATACAGTGCATTTGTCAAATCATAACAGTTCATGGAAGTTCAGTCAGAAGGGAGCAGAGGCCGAATATATACAGTTGTCAAATTTTCATGGAAGTTCAGTCAATCATAACAGTTCATGGAAGTTCAGTCAGAAATATATACAGTGCATTTGTCAAATCATAACAGTTCATGGAAGTTCAGTCAGAGGGGAGCAGAGGCCGAATATACAGTGCATTTGTCAAATCATAACAGTTCATGGAAGTTCAGTCAGAAGGGAGCAGAGGCCGAATATACAGTGCATTTGTCAAATCATAACAGTTCATGGAAGTTCAGTCAGAAGGGAGCAGAGGCCGAATATACAGTGCATTTGTCAAATCATAACAGTTCATGGAAGTTCAGTCAGAAGGGCAGAGGCCCAATATACAGTGCATTTGTCAAATCATAACAGTTCATGGAAGTTCAGTCAGAAGGGTTCAGCAGAGGGAGGCCGAATATACAGTGCATTTGTCAAATCATAACAGTTCATGGAGTTCAGTCAAGAAGGGAGCAGTTCAGTGCATTTGTCAAATCACTTAACAGTTCAGGAAGTTCAGAAGGGGAGCAGGCCGAATATACAGTGCATTTGTCAAATCATAACAGTTCATGGAAGTTCAGTCAGAAGGGAGCAGAGGCCGAATATACAGTGCAGTTGTCAAATCATAACAGTTCATGGAAGTTCAGTCAGAAGGGAGCAGAGGCCGAATATACAGTGCATTTGTCAAATCATAACAGTTCATGGAAGTTCAGTCAGAAGGGGCAGAGGCCGAATATACAGTGCATTTGTCAAATCAAACAGTTCATGGAAGTTCAACAGTCAAATCATTCATGGAAGTTCAGTCAGAAGGGAGCAGAGGCCGAATATACAGTGCATTTGTCAAATCATAACAGTTCATGGAAGTTCAGTCAGAAGGAGCAGAGGCCGAATATACAGTGCATTTGTCAAATAATAACAGTTCATGGAAGTTCAGTCAGAAGGGCAGAGGCCGAATATACAGTGCATTTGTCAAATCATAACAGTTCATGGAAGTTCAGTCAGAAGGGCAGAGGCCGAATATACAGTGCATTTGTCAAATCATAACAGTTCATGGAAGTTCAGTCAGAAGGGAGCAGAGGCCGAATATACAGTGCATTTGTCAAATCAAACAACAGTTCATGGAAGTTCAGTCAGAAGGGCAGAGGCCGAATATACAGTGCATTTGTCAAATCATAACAGTTCATGGAAGTTCAGTCAGAAGGAGCAGAGGCCGAATATACACAGTTTGTCAAATCATAACAGTTCATGGAAGTTCAGTCAGAAGGGAGCAGAGGCCGAATATACAGTGCATTTGTCAAATCAGAAGGATAACAGTTCATGGAGTTCAGTCAGAAGGGAGCAGAGGCCGAATATACAGTGCATTTGTCAAATCATAACAGTTCATGGAAGTTCAGTCAGAAGGGAGCAGAGGCCGAATATACAGTGCATTTGTCAAATCATAACAGTTCATGGAAGTTCAGTCAGAAGGGAGCAGAGGCCGAATATACAGTGCATTTGTCAAATCATAACAGTTCATGGAAGTTCAGTCAGAAGGGAGCAGAGGCCGAATATACAGTGCAGTTGTCAAATGGTTCATGGAAGTTCAGTCAGAAGGGCAGCAGGGCGAATATACAGTGCAGTTGTCCAAATCATAACAGTTCATGGAAGTTCAGTCAGAAGGGAGCAGAGGCCGAATATACAGTGCATTTGTCAAATCATAACAGTTCATGGAAGTTCAGTCAGAAGGAGCAGAGGCCGAATATACAGTGCATTTGTCAAATCATAACAGTTCATGGAAGTTCAGTCAGAAGGAGCAGAGGCCGAATATACAGTGCATTTGTCAAATCATAACAGTTCATGGAAGTTCAGTCAGAAGGGAGCAGAGGCCGAATATACAGTGCATTTGTCAAATCATAACAGTTCATGGAAGTTCAGTCAGAAGGGAGCAGAGGCCGAATATACAGTGCATTTGTCAAATCATAACAGTTCATGGAAGTTCAGTCAGAAGGGAGCAGAGGCCGAATATACAGTGCATTTGTCAAATCATAACAGTTCATGGAAGTTCCAGTCAGAAGGGAGCAGAGGCCGAATATACAGTGCATTTGTCAAATCATAACAGTTCATGGAAGTTCAGTCAGAAGGGAGCAGAGGCCGAATATACAGTGCATTTGTCAAATCATAACAGTTCATGGAAGTTCAGTCAGAAGGGGAGCAGAGGCCGAATATACAGTGCATTGTCAAATCAGTTCATGGAAGTTCAAATCAGATAACAGTTTGTCAAATAATAACATTCATGGAAGTTCAGTCAGAAGGGAGCAGAGGCCGAATATACAGGCATTTGTCAAATCCATAACAGTTCATGGAAGTTCAGTCAGAAGGGAGCAGAGGCCGAATATACAGTGCATTTGTCAAATCATAACAGTTCATGGAAGTTCAGTCAGAAGGGAGCAGAGGCCGAATATACAGTGCATTTGTCAAATCATAACAGTTCATGGAAGTTCAGTCAGAAGGGCAGCAGAGGCCGAATATACAGTGCATTTGTCAAATCATAACAGTTCATGGAAGTTCAGTCAAAGGGAGCAGAGGCCAAATATACAGTGCAGTTTGTCAAATCATAACAGTTCATGGAAGTTCAGTCAGAAGGAGCAGAGGCCGAATATACAGTGCATTTGTCAAATCATAACAGTTCATAACAGTTCAAGGGAAGTTCAGTCAGAAGGGAGCAGAGGCCGAATATACAGTGCATTTGTCAAATCATAACAGTTCATGGAAGTTCAGTCAGAAGGGAGCAGAGGCCGAATATACAGTGCAGTTGTCAAGTAATAACAGTTCATGGAAGTTCAGTCAGAAGGGAGCAGAGGCCGAATATACAGTGCATTTGTCAAATCATAACAGTTCATGGAAGTTCAGTCAGAAGGGAGCAGAGGCCGAATATACAGTGCATTTGTCAAATCATAACAGTTCATGGAAGTTCAGTCAGAAGGGAGCAGAGGCCGAATATACAGTGCATTTGTCAAATCAAACAGTTCATGGAACAGTCAGAAGGGAGCAGAGGCCGAATATACAGTGCAGAAGGGTTCATGGAAGTTCAGTCAGAGGGCAGGGCCGAATATACAGTGCAGTTGTCAAATCATAACAGTTCATGGAAGTTCAGTCAGAAGGGCAGAGGCCGAATATACAGTGCATTTGTCAAATCATAACAGTTCATGGAAGTTCAGTCAGAAGGGGAGCAGAGGCCGAATATACAGTGCATTTGTCAAATCATAACAGTTCATGGAAGTTCAGTCAGAAGGAGCAGAGGCCGAATATACAGTGCATTTGTCAAATCATAACAGTTCATGGAAGTTCAGTCAGAAGGAGCAGAGGCCGAATATACAGTGCATTTGTCAAATCATAACAGTTCATGGAAGTTCAGTCAGAAGGGAGCAGAGGCCGAATATACAGTGCATTTGTCAAATCATAACAGTTCATGGAAGTTCAGTCAGAAGGATGGAAGTTCAGTCAGGCCGAATATACAGTGCATTTGTCAAATCATAACAGTTCATGGAAGTTCAGTCAGAAGGGAGCAGAGCCGAATATACAGTGCATTTGTCAAATCATAATAACAGTTTCATGGAAGTTCAGTCAGAAGGGAGCAGAGGCCGAATATACAGTGCAGTTGTCAAATCATAACAGTTCATGGAAGTTCAGTCAGAAGGGAGCAGAGGCCGAATATATACAGTGCATTGTCAAATCATCAGTTCAGGAAGTTCAGTCAGAAGGGAGCAGAGGCCGAATATACAGTGCATTTGTCAAATCATAACAGTTCATGGAAGTTCAGTCAGAAGGGAGCAGAGGCCGAATATACAGTGCATTTGTCAAATCATAACAGTTCATGGAAGTTCAGTCAGAAGGGAGCAGAGGCCGAATATACAGTGCATTTGTCAAATCAATAACAGTTCATGGAAGTTCAGTCAGAAGGGAGCAGAGGCCGAATATACAGTGCATTTGTCAAATCATAACAGTTCATGGAAGTTCAGTCAGAAGGGAGCAGAGGCCGAATATACAGTGCAGTTGTCAAATCATAACAGTTCATGGAAGTTCAGTCAGAAGGGAGCAGAGGCCGAATATACAGTGCATTTGTCAAATCATAACAGTTCATGGAAGTTCAGTCAGAAGGGAGCAGAGCCGAATATACAGTGCATTTGTCAAATCATAACAGTTCATGGAAGTTCAGTCAGAAGGGAGCAGAGGCCGAATATACAGTGCATTTGTCAAATCATAACAGTTCATGGAAAGTTCAGTCAGAAGGGAGCAGAGGCCGAATATACAGTGCATTTGTCAAATCATAACAGTTCATGGAAGTTCAGTCAGAAGGGAGCAGAGGCCGAATATACAGTGCATTTGTCAAATCATAACAGTTCATGGAAGTTCAGTCAGAAGGGGGAGCAGAGGCCGAATATACAGTGCATTTGTCAAATCATAACAGTTCATGGAAGTTCAGTCAGAAGGGAGCAGAGGCCGAATATACAGTGCATTTGTCAAATCATAACAGTTCATGGAAGTTCAGTCAGAAGGGAGCAGAGGCCGAATATACAGTGCATTTGTCAAATCATAACAGTTCATGGAAGTTCAGTCAGAAGGGCAGAGGCCGAATATACAGTGCAGTTGTCAAATCATAACAGTTCATGGAAGTTCAGTCAGAAGGGAGAGGGCCGAATATACAGTGCAAATCATAACAGTGTCAAATCATCAACAGTTCATGGAAGTTCAGTCAGAAGTTTCAGTCAGAAGGGAGCAGAGGCCGAATATACAGTGCATTTGTCAAGTAATAACAGTTCATGGAAGTTCAGTCAGAAGGGAGCAGAGGCCGAATATACAGTGCATTTGTCAAATCATAACAGTTCATGGAAGTTCAGTCAGAAGGGAGCAGAGGCCGAATATACAGTGCATTTGTCAAATCATAACAGTTCATGGAAGTTCAGTCAGAAGGGAGCAGAGGCCGAATATACAGTGCATTTGTCAAATCATAACAGTTCATGGAAGTTCAGTCAGAAGGGAGCAGAGGCCGAATATACAGTGCATTTGTCAAGTAATAACAGTTCATGGAAGTTCAGTCAGAAGGGAGCAGAGGCCGAATATACAGTGCATTTGTCAAATCATAACAGTTCATGGAAGTTCAGTCAGAAGGGAGCAGAGGCCGAATATACAGTGCATTTGTCAAAATCATAACAGTTCATGGAAGTTCAGTCAGAAGGGGAGCAGTCAGAAGGCCAGAATATACAGTGCATTTGTCAAATCATAACAGTTCATGGAAGTTCAGTCAGAAGGGGCAGAGGCCGAATATACAGTGCATTTGTCAAATCATTCATGGAAGTTCAACAGTTCATGGAAGTTCAGTCAGAAGTTCAGTCAGAGGGAGCAGAGGCCGAATATACAGTGCATTTGTCAAATCATAACAGTTCATGGAAGTTCAGTCAGAAGGGAGCAGAGGCCGAATATACAGTGCATTTGTCAAGTAATAACAGTTCATGGAAGTTCAGTCAGAAGGGAGCAGAGGCCGAATATACAGTGCATTTGTCAAGTAATAACAGTTCATGGAAGTTCAGTCAGAAGGGCAAGAGGCCGAATATACAGTGCATTTGTCAAATCATAACAGTTCATGGAAGTCAGAAGGAGCAGAGGCCGAATCAGTGCATTTGTCAAATCATAACAGTTCATGGAAGTTCAGTCAGAAGGGAGCCGAATATTGTCAAATCAGTTCATTTGTCAAATCATAACAGTTCATGGAAGTTCAGTCAGAAGGGAGCAGAGGCCGAATATACAGTGCATTTGTCAAATCATAACAGTTCATGGAAGTTCAGTCAGAAGGGAGCAGAGGCCGAATATACAGTGCATTTGTCAAGTAATAACAGTTCATGGAAGTTCAGTCAGAAGGGAGCAGAGGCCGAATATACAGTGCATTTGTCAAATCATAACAGTTCATGGAAGTTCAGTCAGAAGGGAGCAGAGGCCGAATATACAGTGCATTTGTCAAATCATAACAGTTCATGGAAGTTCAGTCAGAAGGGCAGAGGCCGAATATACAGTGCATTTGTCAAATCATAACAGTTCATGGAAGTTCAGTCAGAAGGGAGCAGAGGCCGAATATACAGTGCATTTGTCAAATCATAACAGTTCATGGAAGTTCAGTCAGAAGGGAGCAGAGGCCGAATATACAGTGCATTTGTCAAATCATAACAGTTCATGGAAGTTCAGTCAGAAGGGAGCAGAGGCCGAATATACAGTGCATTTGTCAAGTAATAACAGTTCATGGAAGTTCAGTCAGAAGGGAGCAGAGGCCGAATATACAGTGCATTTGTCAAGTAATAACAGTTCATGGAAGTTCAGTCAGAAGGGAGCAGAGGCCGAATATACAGTGCATTTGTCAAGTAACAGTTCATGAAAAATCATAACAGGAAGTTCAGTCAGAAGGAGCAGAGGCCGAATATACAGTGCATTTGTCAATTCATAACAGTTCATGGAAGTTCAGTCAGAAGGGAGCAGAGGCCGAATATACAGTGCATTTGTCAAATCATAACAGTTCATGGAAGTTCAGTCAGAAGGGCAGGGCCGAATATACAGTGCATTTGTCAAGTAATAACAGTTCATGGAAGTTCAGTCAGAAGGGAGCAGAGGCCGAATATACAGTGCATTTGTCAAATCATAACAGTTCATGGAAGTTCAGTCAGAAGGGAGCAGAGGCCGAATATACAGTGCATTTGTCAAATCATAACAGTTCATTTGGAACAGTTCAGTCAAGAAGGGAGCAGAGGCCGAATATACAGTTGCATTTGTCAAATAATAACAGTTCATGGAAGTTCAGTCAGAAG